AGACAAACTAACACCTTCACTCTTAATGTGTCATCACACTTACTGTACTGTATGTTCAGCCCTGACACGTTCTGTATGGAAACCGTGGAAACCACTGACAGTCATTACGTCTATCTCGGTCAGATTGATCTTTATAAGGGGACTTTTTTTCTCATGCATATTACCATGGTAATGAAACAAACAGCTTCACTATTTAATGAATTTTACTGACTGTTTAAAAACACAGTAGTCTTCAGCTCTTTTTTAAATGACTGTACTATGTATAATTGCAATACACCATTATACAGTACAGTAATGTATATAAAATATAGTTTACTGTAGTTCAAATTGTGATTTGGCTATAGCCATGACTGTTCTTCATCTGAGTGTCAATTAATCAACTCCAGTGAAATACAATCCTGTCAGCTCCTTCAGCATGTGCATTGCAATTTGGCCCTTTTTGCCTCCTGTTAAATTGTAGGCTGCTGCTTCATAGTCGTCCATGTTTCCAGATGGTTCTGGTAATCCATGGTTTCTGCTGTGAAATGCTTTCACTGTAGTTTTGGGCACAGTTTCTTTGTTTTACACATAACTCCACTACAGACTCTGTGAATTCACTGATGTTATCTGTGACGTCCTGAAATGTGCTCTAGACTCTTATTAACACCATCGCTCACGTCACTGGGGGTATGCGTGCTCTAGACTCTTATTAACACCATCGCTCACGTCACTGGGGGTATGCGTCGCCCAGTTTGTTTCCATATCTTGACCTTAGCAAGATGGCTGCATGCCATGGTCGCTCATGTGGAACACACTATCTGTATGTTTACACAAGTTAAACCTGAGGAACACCAAGTTCCACTGCGGCATCTCATTGGCTCGTTTTTGGCAGTTTAACGAGACTACGTTTCTCACTGAGAACATTCTCCATGTGCACTCAGCACACGATTAGTAGCCTAATCAATGACTAATCGACTATTAAAATAATTGGTGACTATTTTAGTAGTCAACTAATTGGTTTGAGTCTATTTCATAGAAAAGTACTATAAAAGTACCCCAAAATACTCTTATTGCAGCTTCTTACGTTCAAATATTAGCAGCTTTACACACACTCCCATGACGGTGAACTAAAACCCTTTGGCGTGAGTACGAAACAAGACATTAGATGACATCATTTTGGGGTTTGGGAGAGACAGACAGACATTTTTCAACATTTTAACACATTTTTCGATAAAATGATTAGTCAACTAATCGAAGAAATAATCGACATATTAGTCGACAATGAAAATAATCGTTAGTTGCAGCCTCAGGTAGCTAGCTGGAAGTAGACAGGTTACAGTGAGGCAATTATCATGGGAGTAAAGTTTAAAAAAAAAAAAATCAGAATTACCCTAGTTTTAAATTGATTTTCCATATTTTGTCAGGTATGAAAAGACCCAAAATGAACACTGCAAACAGACTACTTACTGTAAGCAAATTCGCTAAGCAGCACTTGTAAAGGAATGATTCTGTCCCAAGCTTTTTAGCCATAGAAGCAGCTGATCACTGTAACTGTGATCGCTAGTCGTTTCCACTGTATAATATTGTTGTAAATCAGTGATGTTCAATTCTTATTTAAAACACTCAGAGATCTCTATGGTTTTCCCTCCAACTTTAAGATCTGTCCTTCCACACAAATACAGAAGCAAGTTGGAGGAAATTAATTGGCTAAGGGAACCACTAATCTATTGAAATGCAGCATTATCCTGCTGTTGTACAATGTTTTAGCAGATCTACCATTTTGCCAAAATGAATACGCTTCCTATCAGCAACAGTAAAAACACACCGTGACACTGGATAATAGGACCCATTTCAAATATCAAATGTGTGCCAAAAAGGACGTCATTGAGAGGCCCTGATTAATTAAAGCCTCTTTTTAAATGTGCGGTCTAAAGTGAAAGAGCTCGCTCTTTAGAAGCCTGTTATTACCTGTCCCAGGCACTTGGCTTGAGAGCCCATCCAGGAACAATACACTTTGTTGTGTAACTATCCCAGCCAGCTCTTTCACTCTCACAGCATCCTCTCGCCTGAGCACAAACAGCGCTATTTTAAGCCCTGCTGAGGCTGTGTGCAGTAGCTGTTGCTGGAGCCTGGGAGGGAAGCTTCTCCTTGGCCAACACCCCAAAGGGTAGTGTATTTACTTTGTTCTGAAATTTGCTTTCTCTGCTGAGGGGGAGGCAAATCTCAGGGGCACATTCATTATAGCTCCATACAGTACTGTACTATGCAATAACTGTAACTAACTGTATTTGTATATCTTACTGCACGTGACTACATGATGGCTGGGAGCTAAGCAATGGAAAAATGATTTTATCTGAGTATGATATGTGAGCAATTACACATAAATACTTCCAGGTACCTCTCTAGATAAGAGAAGACTGAATATACACTTCCCCCTCTATTCAGATCTCGTATGACCAGAAAGAGAAGTCAGCGCAGGGGCTGACACCAACATTAGTCTCTCCTGGGTGAGAGTCAGAGGGTCAGTTACCCATGTGGCAATGGTTGAAGAAAAGTCAAACGGTTCTTTGTGCTCTCTCCAATCCCCAAGGGTTTGAAGGACAATCTGCTTTCTTTCAAACTGTAGACAAAAAGTTATGACTACAGAGAAAAAAGGAAGCTTTGCTGCCACTCTCCTGCCTTCAGAGCAATCCAAACTGACAGACACGCTTATCTGCGTGTCACCACTAAGTGGTTTCACGCTGTAAGCCTCCATTTGTTTTCTTGACAGGTGTGGAAGTCTGCCGCCTGAGAAACACCAAGAAAGGTCGGGCTTATAAATCTGTGTCAGGTGTCTGAGAGTTAGCAGCACAAATCTTGCCACTTTAAATGCCGTGTCGTCCACGACCAGTTAAACTCTGCCCTGCATGTACTGTATAAATATGACACTCACTGGCATAGTTTATTTCTGCAGCTGCTGCTGAAATGGGTCAGACCACATTTACTCCGCTGAAGGGTAACGCTGCAATTGCTATAAATCATGCTTCTCCATTTCACATCTGCCCTGACATCAAAGCACGACGACACAGCACATGACAGCTGTGTGTGATGCACTGTAAACAACGAATGTGTAACTGGCAGCGACAGAGGCATCTGTGGCAAGACAATGGGAATGTGGGATTAGAGTTAATACTGCCTAATACAGCCAATCTCAGCAGTGTAGAAAATATAATCCAGTTAGACCATGTAGTAGAACCAGCTTAGCATGAGACCAGTGGATGTGACATGCTTGTTAAGGCATTTCCTTCTTATTTTATTATCTGCTTGTCAGAAATTAATTTAGTGTCCATTGTTGTGACACTTGCAATGCTTCCTGGGTGATGAGGCTGCATTAAATGTTCTTAGCCTCCCTGTGATAACAGAGCCAGGTTATTCCTTATGACAGGACGGCAGCTGTTGCCAATTGATATGAAGATGGAACTGCACACATCACCGTGTAAACATGCTGCATTTGGGCAATGTTGTGCAGTTTTATATCCAGCTGACTTTCAAAGCAGCATCTTACTGTATCTGATGGGGAATGAAATCAGCTAGTTTCACCTTATTATACAAAACCACACACGGAGACACAGGAGTGACTAATATCCACATAATTATAATCTCAATTCCTGCTTTGACAATGGTTTTACATTTTGACAGAGTGCCAATTTCAAATTAATTGATAACAAGGGAGGAAAAAAAAGGTAAGACTAATTTATGATCCCTCAGCTCTTAATTCAGGCGCTACATCACAGCGAAACACAAAAGCACAGCTGCTTTTAAATGGTTAATGTCTATCTTAAGAGTAACTTTAAATAATAGGTACTCAATGTAATTTAATCTACCCCTCTTCATGCTTTTACTTTGACAGAATTCATTACAGTACGAGATGATGTCAGTAAAAAGATGTAATGAGCAGTGAAAGGCTCAGTGCCATGTCAAACATGCTCAATTTCACACTCTGAATCAAGATGATTAAATCCATAAGAATGACTTCAGCATATTAATGAATAGCTTTCCACTGTGCCGACACTTCAGACCAACCATCAAACAAATAACACTCTAAAAACATCAGACTGAATCCAATCTATGCCAAACTTCAAACACTTTACGATACAGTTAGTCATCAGGGACCAGCCCACTGCAAACACAGCCGGCCGTATAACCGGCAATAAAAAAATACTGAGATGCGAGATGATACAAGAAGTGTTTGGTTTGTACCTGTGCAGATAGTGGATGAGCGTGCCGTCACTGTCTCCTCTTTCTCCTGCGCTCGGATGCTCTGGCATGTGGAAGTGTGCCTGCGAGTGTGTGTTTTCACTGTGCGAGGGTGAATGCATGCATTTCCAGCTGAGCCTGTGAATATGCACGCGCTTCAGTTACCTCGCTCAATGCACAGCCTCTCCCTAGAGCGGGAGTGTGTGGATCCAAGTCTAAGGGTGTCTGTGTGTGTCTACACTGATCTGCGTGCTGAATGCAGACCTAAGCATAAAAGCGGATCTTGCCTGTGTCCTTCCTACAGACGTGCCAGTGATTACCACACTGTTCTACTGCTCCCCCCACCCCCCAAGGGCACGGCACAGCCACTGGGACAGGTGGACAGGGACACACACGAACTTCAAACCTTATTGGTATGAGATAGCTAACGTAAAGGGGAGGGGCTTGAGGATTTTGTAATCATTCAATATAACTTATTCAGCCAATAGGAGCCCAGCACGTGGGGGAGAGTATGGGAAACAACGAGATGAAGATTCATACAGATGCTAGTCTAAAAAGAAAACTAGATTCCAAAACAAAAACATCACAACACTTTCACATTCATAAACATTACAATAATATAGTAATTATTAGAAAAACCTTTGCAAAGTTATTATAGTTCAGCTACATTAAAGTACGTGTGAAGACTGGCATCACAGTGGATAATATAGCGACTGTACTGTGTGGTGTTTGTTGGTGTACATGCTGACACAGGCTCGATTAAGATGATGAAGATGTTTCCCTACCTCCTCCTGTTTTGACAGCAGTTCGAGGCACAGTTGGAGAGCAGCACAGGTTTCAACGGAGAGCTCACTGGTCTCTTTAGCTTTCAGTAAGAGAGGGGCAGCCAATGCTTTTAGAAAAATACAGAAATCATATTTTCAGTGCACATGTACAAATTGGGCTTCACCCACCAGCTTTTTTTTTTTTAATATTGATTAATCTGATGGCTATTTTTATGATTCAGTAAGTAAGTTTACAAGAACTCATAGCAAGGTTTTGTCTGATCAACAATCCACACCCCAAAAATTTGCACACTGAAGTACAGAAGGAAACCGAAAATTCTCACATTTGACAAAACAAAAATTACGCAACTTTTCCGAGCTAAATGAACAATTACAGAGTTAGGGGTTAGGCCACTGATGTCCATTATGAGCCTGTTTGCACCTGATATTAACATGTGTTTTGGTGATCTGAACACAAATGGAGAACTGAGACACATCGCCGCACACACCTGTGTCCATCATGCCTCTCCAGCTGACCACTGCTCAGATTTCACTTCTGCTTACATCACTCACTCCAGGAGGACAAAGGGCTCCATGCAGTTATTATGTCCTCACTAGCATGCTCGTTAACAGTTGTGTCTGCACAGCCATCAGCAGTTAAAAATGACTCTTTCCATGGGGCAAAACGACAGGTGGTCATGCAACGCTTCATCCAGCATGTCATAAAAGGGGCAAGTTATAGAGCATTGGTGCGTTGTCACAGAAATAACCATGTCGTCCTTGTACTAATGATGTGGTCCTTGTCGGGGATGCATCAAGATGCACTGGCATTTACACGACAAAAGATACGTGGTCAAATGCGTCCCAGACCACCTCAGCAGGTGGTTAAAGTGTTGAGCTCACAACTTGTATTTAGCACTATCCACTTGTGATTAAATCACCCAAGACACATGCTAATACCACATGTAAATAGGCTATTAATGTCCAAACAATGCCTACATGTGACCTCTCAATATTAGTGATGCCAGAAAAATCCATTTCCAATCAACCCCCAAGTCGAGTACCACAGGGTGTGGATGAAGTTTATCTTTATACTTTACAATTAATTTTCTGCCCATTGGCTAAACAACATATTTACAATTAATGAATATACCAGTGCTGATTTTTTAATCACTAGTGTAAAAGGTTAAAAGAAATGGGTATTGGATTAACCACATCAATACGTGACCAATTCCAGGACCCTTACCACAGTTCTCCTCATTCTTCACCATCGATAGAAATATTGACACTTCACCCTCCAGTTTCTGCTGGGAAGCGCTGGCTGCCTACAAGAGCACAGGACAAGAGAAATACATTGGAATCCTCCTCCCTAAACAGCACTATACCTTTCTAAAAAAGGTCTGAATTTAATCTTACTTGAAGTGCTTGTGACAGATTCCTCACTGCTTCATCACCTTCACCACCTGCATCGCTGATAATCTCTTCTTGGGTGCAGTGACGAGTACTATAGGATGCATGTGCCTCAAAAGCATCCAACCATCTCTAAATAAACAAATACCAGAAACATTTACTACGTTGTCCACCCTCGCAGATATATTTAAGACAATCAGCTTGTTTGGGGAGGGGGTGGGGGGACAGCAACAGCATATAAGGTGAATCTCATCTCACTTTTCTTGTTGCCACTGAATCTGTCTTTGAAGGGACCTTAAAATTATGAACAGTGTCATCAAAGCACCTGAGCATGAAGAAGCAATGATCCCACGGTTTGACCTAGAATGACAAAATGAAATTACTTACAGTCATGCATGCTGCACTAGATGTCAAACATCGCCATGTCATAGGTACAAGGTAATCACAACTGAAACTTCCAAGCACTGAGCATCCTTGGACGGTAATTTACGAGCCTCTAACCTCGACCACCTACCATGCAGTAGGCTTGTGTCAGAGACTTACAGCCCTGTTTTCTGACACCAGCCTGCGCATCAGACCTAGAAACATAAACAGATTAGAGATAAGACAAAGGCATTTTGAGAACTTTGGTTTTCTGGCATGCGTCCACAGTCAACGGAGAATCAAAAAAGGTGGACATTCTTCTTAAATCTAAGTGAGCAGGGTCCTCATTTAGTAACAGCAAAATTACGTCAACACATCTGTTAACAAACCCTTACACAACCCGGGCAGTATAATTCAACTGTCGTTTATCCAGTTGTGTGCTCAGTACTTCCCACACATGAATTATTGGTAAGAAGTTACAGTATAAAACACTGCCGCATATGCGTAGCACTTCCTGAGCACACCTGGGCACACAGGTGCAGTTGAGCTCTAGTTCAAATGCGCACATATACCCAGGTGTGCTTCCCCTCTCTTTGTGAGACTGTGAGAAGTGTATTAAATCAGGGCAGCACAGTGGTGCCTTCAGTGCTGAGTTTGCATGTCAGTGTGGGTTTTCACCAGGTACTCCAGCTTCCTCCCTCTGTCCAAAGACATGCAGGTTGATTGGTAACTCTAAATTGCCTGTAGGTGTGAATGGGAGTGTAAATCTGTCTCTATGTGTCAGCCCTGCAACAGTCTGGCAACTTGTCCAGGGTGTACCTCACCTGTCAGCCAGTGTCAGCTGGGATAGGCTCCAGCAAACCCGCGACCCCTAACAGGATAAGCGGTTATAGAAAATGAAAGAATGAATGTTTTATATCATAACGTTTCACCAAAAATGCATGTGTTTTGTTAAGTACTGAGCCTACGACTGGATAAATGAGACTTGGATCATACTCTACGGGTTGTGTGAAAGTTTGCAAACAAATGTTTTGATATAGTTTTGCTGTTGTTAAATGAGGACCCTGACTGCATAAAGAATGTTCACCTTTTATGGATTCTCCATTTACAACAAAAGCACGTGAGTTTTCTTCACGAATTCAAGGTAACATGCAGTGAGTATTTGATTTACCAAACAGTCATTTGGTAGGTGATGTATTCCATTAAAGTTCAATTATAAACATGAACAACTCTCTTTCAAATCCAGTGTGAGTGCTAAAACTCAAATGTATGATGTCATCAAGTCTGAAACTGCATCATAGACATTTAATAGGGAAAGATGTTATAGATGACACTTCGAGCACCCAGGGGAATATTCTGCGTATATGGGTACAATTTCTGCCTCAGGACTGAGAACACTACAATAAAATCAAGCTCATTTGGATATTAAAAAAGACAGCAAACATTCTGTAGGTCCATGAAATCAGGCTCCCATTCATTGTCTATAGAGCAGCTCCAGACTTTACACTTGATGACATCTCAAGTGTCTTAGACTTATCTGGTTTCTGATTTTCAGTGTGAGTAGCTCATGTTCACAAATATTGATTGAAATTCCCTTGGTTATGGAAGTAATATATTGCAATTCTTAATTTAGGTGGTGTTCCCTTTTAAATGTGGCTTTCTCACACTGCATACGTACAGACAATACGATATTCTATACATGTACATAGTATATTTTTCAGCTTAAGAAAACTGCATACATAAAAAGTTATCTCACTGTCTGGGGTACCAGGAGAGAGTCCCATCCTCAATAACCACCCAGTGGGATCGCCATCCAAGAAAGCGTGAACTCTGTCAAAGACACATGAAGTCAACAAATATATAAATCATATAAATGTATCATATGTAGAATGTTCATTTTTTATTTAAAACTATTACTAATATTTTTTATGATATTAAAAATAAACTAAAGAATTCACAGATAACACTGTAAGCTGATTTTTTTTGTATATTATAATCTACAATATATACAATATATATCCTATATTGTGTGGAGTTACAGGACAAAAGTGAAGTCTATACTATCAAGCATGTCTCAACAAAAAAAACAGCCTGACATCAAGAATAGAAAAGGTTACACTTCAGCATCTGGGTACCTTCCAAAGAGGGCCTTCAATCTTCTGCACCCCACTGTTCACATCCTTTGTGAGAAAAACATAACAACTCTCAGACCTGTGCACAGATGGAGCCTGACTGACAGCGTTGAGTTTTTGGTGAGACCAGAAACACTCAACTCAGTTTTTCTTGTATTACAGTAAAAGTTTCAGAGGTTAATAATATATCTTTTAATTTACTTAATAGCCTCGTCTTTTTTACTTCCACCGTGACTATGCAATGCTCTGCACTGAAGCTGTGCCAGGCTTATCAGACATCCAAGCAAGAGCAAGAACTGCTGACTTGCAAGGTTTTTTCTACACAGTCATCAGACCTTATATAGAGATGTGACAAGAGAAAATGCAAAAAGATAGTTGTGCGCAGCCATATTTTGGCCAGGTGCAGGGTAGCACTTTTTCCTAGGTGCAAGCATCCAGCCTGTAATTAAGGCGCTAGACACACCAATTATTAATGTTAGATACAAAAAATGAGTTATTGGCTCAGAGAGAGCCAAAAATGAGAAAGTTTAATCTTCTAGGGAACATGAATAAACTTGGTAAACTTCACTAAAATGTGCTCATTAGATTTTTTCTTGACGAGATTCTCGCCCAGTGGTGGTGATAGCAGAGAGGCCAGAGGATCACCACAATAATTAGGAATCATCCTTTGTGGACCATAACTCAAATACTGAATTTAATAGCAATGTGGTGTAGAGTTATTGGCTCAAGCTGGACATAGACTGAATGAATGAGACTGACACATAGCACATGCACTCATTTTTTACATCACATACAAAGAGATGGAAAATGTGCAACGGTACCTTAATTCATGTGCCAGTGCCTGTCTTTTACTATTAAAGGAGTGACTGAAAACTACTCATCTGCGCTTACTGTACCTTGTCTTGATAGGCAGCTAGAATCAGTCTCAGCTCATAGCTGCGGACCAGGTCTAATGCTGTCTGGTCTGCAACACAATCAGCCATAGAATAAACATCATGTAATACCCAGAAACAAAACTAGCAGAACATACTCTAGTATTTACAAAACTGTGTATTCACAAATTGTGACTCTCATTGCAAATGTTACTGTGCTAATAATACATTAGTGAGAATGATAAGATGTGATGTTCAAAGTTCAGTGATATACCGTTGTTGTTTTTAGCACTGGCTTTGGCTCCAGACTTGAGCAGCTTTATAATGCACTGCTTCTGCCCCCTGTAGGCCGCACAGTGTAAGGGTGTATTCCCTACAGAGTCCCTGCAGTGAATATCTGGCGCCTCTTTTCTACTGAGCTGAAGGAAAGAAAACCGTTAGACAACTGAAAACAACTTAACAAAGCAAAAGACCCTCACATTTACCTCTTTTACACATCTAATGGCAACAGGAGCTCATCTATATCTAAATATCTAAAGTATCCACCTTTAGCCAGTATCACAACACACAGGAAAAATAGGACATTTTAACTTTGACCTGGTTTCCTCATAAATCTGCTTTGGTTTGCTAAAACAGGGCAGGTTGTTAAGGAAATTGGCACATATTATGTTGTCTGTGGCTGTCTATGAATCAGAATTGTTGCTTCCTGTCTAGACAGAGATATCAGACACTTCTCAAATTTGACCTCTGAAACTAGAATCTGGACAAATGTAAATGTAATCCCATAGTTTGTGCATTTTACCAATTCCAGAGGCAGCATAAGATGTGACAGACTCATTGTGTGAAATATTCTTAAAAGGGATACTGTGCCCATTTTCAATGAGCTCTGTATCATAGCAATGTGGACAATATGTGTAAATGAACTGCGGTAAACTTTTCTTCCATCTTGTTAGTGCCAAGATTTCTCTGCTCCAATCTGCCAGATGAAACTGGGGCTGTTGCTCGAGCTGCAAATTGCATTTCTGCATTTATGTTATGCTAAGACACCATGGACAGAAAAAGTATAGAAGCAGATAAGAGAGAAAGACGTCCCTCTCTCTCAAACTCAGACCATACTTACAGACAAGATTGGTCTGTAAAGCAAAGCAAAGCTCATCAAATATAAGCTAATATTCTGTTATCTTATTGCCCATTTCATGCCTAAAATGTCCTCAGAAACATATTTTAGTGCACTGTTTAGCTGTAATACGAGAAACTGTGAACAAGAAGTGGGTGCAATTCCATTTCCTGTCTTCTAGAAGACTGAAAAAACTGAGATCAAACTTTAAAATAAGCAGTTCTGATCAAATATGAACCAAGCTGCGTTGCCTATTTCTCACCGAAAATGACCTCAGAAACATATTTTAGTGGACTGTTTAGCCGTAATACGAGAAATTGTGAACAAGAAGTGGGTGCAATTCAATTTCCTGTATTGCAGAAGACTGAAGAAACGGAGATCAAACTACAAAACTAAGCAGTGCTGATATGATACCATATTGTTTCCAGAGTCAAAACGGCCACGCTTGCTCTACGTCAAGCGTTTATTGGGCCAGTATGGCGCAGTGCATTGTCGTAGTAGCAAAAGCGAATACCACAGCCCCTTCCTTCTGATTTCTTGGGTTATGTAGCACCAATTTCAAAAGTATTTGCATCTCTCTGCTGCATTGACAGCCCAGTTTTGTGAAAAGACCATCCTTCCAGCAGTGAAATACTTCTTTAAATAAAGAAAGATGCTGTCAAAGTGTAATATATTCTGCAAAATTCTTAGAAAAGGTCAGATGCTAACCAGTTTAGACAGAGTGGAGATGTCCCCCTCTCTGGCTGCCTCTAGAAGCTTCTCCTCCCGCCGCCTCGTCTCTCTTCTCTCTGCAGCTGCACAAATCAAACACTATTTGAGAACAAGGGCATCTGATCTGCAGTAATGAGAAGCCATCAGCGATTTTAAAAAAGAAAGAAAGAGACAAAGGAAAAAAAAAAACTCCCATCATTTCATACCCTCCAGCATCGTAATGATTTCATCATCCTCTGTGACATCTTTAGGGATTTGGGCTGTTCCATTGATTATGTTGGAACAGGCATCATACCGCAGCAGCAACAGAACTATCTCCTTAATAAGCAAAGAAAAGATTCAAATCTGACCATCATTTGCCAACACTTAAAAGCGTCAATGGGAAAATGGAAAATATCTGGCAGATTTCAGCTGGCATTAGTGTGGAGGACAAAGGGGTTTATCTTAAGTTAGAACACAGAACGCACCTCGCCTTATAGTTAATGGGCAGGCAGGAATTCTGTTTGGTCTTTTACCTTTCTTCCAGTATAGGCTGCTTTGTGTAGCGGTGTATCGCCCATGTTATTCTGCAGATTTGCATCAGCACCTGCCTGCAAACATGTTACAGTAAGTGGCTGTCACTGGTTGCAAATATGTGCTGGACATAATATCATTTATTTATCATTTATGTAACCAGGAAGTCCCATTGAGATTGTAAATCTCTTTTACAAGAGGGACCTGGCCGAGGTAGCAGCCAATCGAAACACATTTAAAATGCAACAAACACAACATGTAATACAAAAAACAACTACTCAAACACAGTGGTCTCTCAAGAAAAACAAGGACATGTCTCTGTCACCACATTCATTCACATTTATGATATCCTTAAATTCATCAATGGATGTAAGTGCTTCTAACTTTAAAGATTGTTCCATGTCCAAGGTGCGCAGTAGGAGAATGCGTTTTCCCCAGATCTGTTACAACCCAGGGTTCATTGTTAATCTACCACATAAGAGCGTAGCTGGTAACTACTCGAGCTGACACTCAGAGGGGTGCAGACACAGGAAAACATTTACATGAAGAGGATGGGTTGCCTCGACTTCTTAATCCTTTCCCTGATCAAAAATCATTTATTAAAATGCTGATTTCTTTCTTTTAATTTACTCATCTGCTGTATGTTGAATGCACAAGTTACGAAGTGTCTCCAGGACATCTGAGCAGCATAAAAGCTTTTAGTGATGATAGAGAGGATACAGATATTATGATCTTGAATGTTGGAAAAAAAAGACAGAGGTAGGCCAGAAGTTTGCCTAATACTGCTTTACGGATAAAAATATACCAGTCTGTATCTGTTGTTCACTATGCTCAATGTGGTCATATGTGCATATACGTATTGATCTAACTTATGTTTTTTTCCTCATCTTATTGCTGCATGTATATTTATCTATTCATTCCTTCTCTTGTTCCATCACAGGTCATCTAAGCCAGCCAGGGGTGGGGAGGGGAGGGAAGGGTTAGATAATAGGTCAGTTTTCTTTCTGGAGTTTCAACAACTGCAAAATTTATGAAACATATGGACAAATATGGATGAGATGCAGCTTTGTATATTTGATTAATAATTAAAATTTTGCAAAGAAACTAAATAAAATAATAATAAAATAAAATAATAATAAAATATACCAGTGCTGCTGTCTGCAAGTGGTCAATGACGCCCAACCCACCAAATCATAAAGAATGTAGTGATGAGTAAATGACTTTGCATTTGTACTAAAACGTAGAGATGCCTGGTATACTGAATCAAAGCTACGTAAAATGGAGGAGGCTGCATGCATATACAGTGGGTGCTTCTCAAAGACAAATAAGGATCCTTAAATGGCTGAATATTAAGGATGCTCTAAAGAGGATGTTCTTTAAATTCTACAGAGGACAGGAGGTGTTTCTCAAAGTCAAGTCCTCAAGTACTCAAAGTTCTCAAACAGCTGAGTTTGAAGGATGCTACATCATCAGCCCGCCAAAGGACTGTTCCAATGTCAAGGATCTTTCCGAGTTTCACAAAATGCTTTGCACAGTACACGAGTTGTACACGAGTGAGGGCGGGGCCTCTTCAATGAAACCTGCGCTGGCGGAGCTCGGCGGGATTTAAAAACATGTGTTATTTATTTGGATTAATATCTCCACGAATTTTTATCATACAAGCGTGAAAAAAATATTGACAGAAACCTCATAATTTACACTTTCCAATGCGTCCACTGCCACATAATAAGATTTTTTAAATAACGTGATTAAGATAAAACATAAGTTTTTAAATTAATCATTTACAGGAGTGATATTAATGCCACAAAACTTTCATTTAGACTACCTAGAATTTTATAAGTCCCCACTTAAAGTCACATGAATCTGAAAACAGTGCTTACATGTGTTCAAATTGTACAACAACATTAGAGAGTGCAAAAATGATCACAGCACCCTGCAGCCCCCTCAGTCCGCTGAGGGTTTGTGACGCACACCTGGGGACACTCAGCCTGTTCCAATGCGTGTTCACTAGGAAGGACTCTTGCCGTGCCTGTGTAGGATCCTTTCTTGGGAGGACTCATCCTACCAAGGAAGGATCCTTGACTTTGGGAAACACCAAACATGTCACCGTAATCGATTTTTTTTTCTTTGCACTGAAAGTAAAACAAGACAATCTGCACTTTAAGCTTCCTAACTAGAGCAGCAATATGTACATTAAAGCTATACATAGTAATACAAACATCTCTCACCTTGAGTAACTCCTCCACTGCATCCCTGTGTCCAAAGTAACAGGCCAGGTGGAGGGGTGTCCATCCTGAGCTGGCTTTAGACCTGGCTACAGTCACAGAGAGGGACATGAGCACTTTCCTCACACACCTGAAGTCATGCTAACAGGCAGATAATGGCGTTTTCTCTTCACTTACACCTGCAGTTGATGTTCAGAGAGCTGCTGTGGTCGAGTCTTGACTGGAGGAGTCTTTGAATATTAGTACAACTGCCCTCTCTGGCATAGAGGAGAAGCTTTTCCTCAGGTGTGTCTGCCTCCATTTGCACTTGACTTCCTTTGACCCTGTAATGAAAGTAAATCTCTGTCCAAGACATTGTGGACGGATGGGGAGTTAGCTCAAATCTTTAGGAACAAATTTAACTTCATGTTTAGCTTGTTTATTTAACTTAGCTGGACTTTTGTCTGTCTTCTAGCTTGAGAGTGAAGGAAACCTACTTTAAAACCAACAGCAACACATTCCCAAAGCATTTGGCACGACTTCACCTGGACACCAACCAGCTAACTAATTAACTTAGCATGTTAGCTAAGGTTAGCTACAATTAGATAACAACTTCAGACTTACAGGTGAAGCTTTTCAAGTCTTAATTCACCCAACTTTCGCAGACTAGTTGCTTCACAGGCAGAGTGAAGGTACACAACATTTCACAGCCGAAATTTGATCATGTCAATCAGCTGACAGCTGATGGCAGCCATCACGTGACCAGGCAGCCAGACTGGCGGTGCGTTCAGGGACACAGCTAAGGGCCTTGTCCACCCCAGAAATAGCCCTGTGCCCCTCCAACCCCTGCTCAAACAACAAACAAATAATATACACAACAACAAACAAATAATACAAGCTGTAAAATATATGTTCTCACCAATGATACACCATCATGCTATGGTATATTTTTGGGTTATTTTTATTACTTAAGTTACTGTGTTATTTATTAATGGGTACGTTATTTATATTTAAGTAGCAATAAATTCAGCATTATTGAGTTACTGGTAAAATATTATTTCATTTTCATTTATAGCATTTTGTATTTTGTCTCATTTGTATTTTCCTGTGCGGTGTTTAAGTTGAGTCATTGTGTTCCTTTGGTTATGAGCTAATTGGTTCCTACCCGCCCTTTTTTGTGGGGACAGGTATGAGTGATTTTTATTTTACTTTATTTAACCTTTATTTAACCAGGAAGATCCCATTGAGATTAACAACCTCTTTTTCAAGGGAGACCTGGCCAAGATAGGCAGCAGCAAGTACAAAACACAGTTACAAATTACACAGATAAAACACAAACAAATAAAAGAAAAAAGTATTGAGTTTACAAGCAGATTATGAAAAACAAACAAAAAAAGTGATACACAAGAGAGAGTGAGTTTACAATAATAACAATAATAATACATCACACATATAGCACTTTTCAAAGTCCTCAAAGACTTTATATAGTGTATACTTTCTTTATTGAAGACAATAAAATAAAATACTAAAATTGATTGGAGTCAACTGGGGAAATAAAAATGGAGTGGCAAGTCTGAAGAGGTGGGTTTTGGGGGCCATTTTGAATGCTGGCAATGAGGGGGCATCACAGAGAGAGGTGGATAACGACTGAAAACGCCCTGTCACCCCAGGTTCGGCGCTTGGTCCTTGGTATTTGAAGAAGTTTGGCATCAGCAGAATGGAGACAATGGGAGGGTTCATGGAATGCTGATTGAGGAGCTAGATTGTTAAGGGCCTTGTAGGTGATGAGTTGAATCTTGAAGTATATCCTGTGTTTAACAAGGAGCCAGTGGAGGTCGTGGAGGACCGGGGTGATGACGTCACGTGAGTCGGTTCTGGTAAGGTGGGCAGCTGAGTTCTGTACGTACTGAAATTTATTGCAGACGGTGTTTGTGGTGCCGTAGAGGATGCTGTTGCAGTATTTAAGTCTGGATGTTACACAGCAACATTATAGAGTGCCCCAGGATTGAGTCCTAAAACCAAGGAAACTATAAGTAAGGAAAAGTCATGGTGACAGTGACAGCATAAAAGAAGCCAGACTTTGGGGGTCAATGGGGCAAATCACACTTTAACCCATCATAACTTTGTTGTTTAATCTTTACCTAAAAAAATCCATCCATCAGATTAAAAAACACGCATTAGGTAATGATAGTAAAAAACTTTTCTACAGCCTAAATTACATGTGAGCAAAACATTTACATGCAACAGATGAATTAATTAAAATGTTTAATACCATCAACCCATTGTTAACATTCGTCTGTCATGTTTCGGCATACATGATGTCAACTCAGTACTCATGTATAAACATTTTGGCCGACTTTCTGAGTATTTGTTCCAACTTTAGGGAACATTTAAGCAAAATTTCCCTGTCAGGAACTAATTTTTCCAATTATTCCAAAACCACCTGAATGCAGATGCACAGCCTATCATGTCAATGCAGCATACCTAGTTTGATCCCAGCAGGAGCTTTGTTGACCCCCTGTCTATCCTCCCAAAATGCCAAAAAACAACAAACAATAAAACATCACCAACAACTAAGGTTGTAATTAAATCCCTCATTTATCACATTACAAGAAACACATACTGTTTTTACAAGTTAACAATAATTAATGTTACCCAAACTGTTTGTAGCAGACATTTTTTTCACTGCCAATAAACTGGTTTCCCCAATGAGTTAAACTGTGGCTCATCCTGTTAAATAATTTGACTGCTTGTGTTGCTTGTGAGCAACAACAAAGCTTGACATGGCCCACTTGGTCATGAGTGGAAGTGTATCTGCCGCGAGGACAAGTGACTGTATTGGTTGTGTAGTAGACGCGACTCAATGAGCACGTTTACATGCACACTAATAAACCGATCATTATCTGATTTCTGGAGTTACCTGAATATTCAAGTGGTCGTGTAAACAGCATAATCCGATAGGCTTTATCAGATAAAAGCCATTATCTGATTATGAGAAATCAGATAAACACACCTAGCTTTTTCCCCAATAGTCAGATTATTCGGTGCATGTATACCCTTTAATCTGGTTTCTTTCGGGTTTTGCTATTTTATACTCCCACTCCACTACATTTTAGAGGGAAATATTGTACTTTCTACTCCACTACGTTAATCTGACAGCTTTTGTTTCCTTTCAGATAAAGATTTTACATAAAATAATATATTTTTATATTCTCAGTGTTTAAATTGTCACTTTTATTTTATCTTACTTATATGTTATGCACTTTGTGTGACAAGTTTATATACAATACACTTGTATAATGCACCTTGCAGTACTTTTACTCCAAATCTACCCAAAGTATGTAAAATTGGCTCCACATTGATAAACTACACATTAGAATGCTCTCACATGTATTTGTTAATGATAAAAACAAACAGTACTGTAAGAATATAAGCTGTCAGCATGATGAGTGCTTTATTTTGCAAATATATGACTTGCGTACTTTTCGAGGTTTTTCAAAGATATGAGTACCTGCTGTAACAAGAAGTTTGAGTTTTATGTCATGTACTTGAGGAGAAATCCAACTGAAGGACTGACTCATGTAAACCAGGTTTTTCTGATTATCAGATTATTGAAGTGCACGTAAACGCGTCAAATCAGATTATTACCATTATCTGATTATTCACAGTTATCTGATTATTGTGCGCATGTAACCGTGCTCACTGAATCTTGGTCCTGTCCAATGAGTATGCTGCTTATTCCAATGATTTTTGTTGAGAGGATTGAGGTGGATGTTGCACAAAGCACCAAACCAGGCTGTTACAGAAGGTGATGGTGGATTCAGTGAAGCACCTGTAAGACTGATTGGTGGACCTGGAGATTACAGTTTCCACAGAGAGAAAAGGTGTTGCCAACATTTGGAGGGAATGTTTTCACTGGTTTGAAAGTGCATTTGTGGTCAGTTGTGGTGCCAAGGTATTTGTATGCCTCCACTTTCTCTGTGGTCTGGCACATTGACCTCAAATTAACACATACTTACCAGAAGGAGATTCAAAATGACCACAGAGAGACACAAAATAACTACAAGAAGGGGTGAAACAACCATAAAGAAACAAAGCGAGCAAAAAAAGACTCTGAGTTACCTCAAAGAGACACAAAACTAATATAAAGAGACACAAAACCACAAGAACATACATTACGACTACAAAGAGATGCAAAACAGCAACAAAAAAGAGGCTAAACAGCTATACAGTGAGTGTGTGTGTCTTGCTCCTATGTAGGAGATGTGGGGGCCTTTTACATATCTATGCCAAGGGGCCCATTGTCTGATAATCGGCCCCTGAGTGTAGGGATGGTAAAATGTCCAAACTGTACTACTGTGGATTAACTCTAGCAATGTCACTGTGTTTCTGTATCCTAACCATATAAACTACACGTCCCTCACATCCTTTGAAAATATTATTCCAATTCAAAAATCCTCTCTTGTGTCACAACACAATAGCACACACTGTTTCCACATGGTGGCTCCTATGAGTTTTGTTGGTCTTGACTTTACAATGCTCATGACCAGTTCTTATTTTGTACACTAGATGGAAGTATTTGCTGCAGCAGCTGACGCCTGCACAGGTTACAGCTGTGTTTATTTCCAAAGCTTCTGTCAGAGAGACAGGAACAATGTCTGGGCAAAAACCACACGTAGATCTGCACATCACAGTCAAATTGTAACCCCCTACCCTTAATTGCATCTTACTTGTGTTTTAAAGGTCATTCATCCCAGACATTTTGGCCAGTACTATTCTAAACAGCAGCAGCAGTCTTTTTTTTTTTTTAAATTGAAGGTCAATTCTGTATGTGACTTTGAACGCCCTGCTTACCTCAAGCAACAAGGTCCCCTGAGGTAAGTGCAGAGCTGGTGGAGAAGATGATGGGAAGTCAGCTGTAATGAAGGCACGGTATTTGTCAGAGCGGACTTCAAGGATAAGTTGCCTCGTCACCGGTGAGAAGAGAGGTGTCTTTTTGAGGGACTGTGTTGTTGACCAGGAAGCTAAATTAGAGGCTAGGCTAATACACAGTGGAGCTGCAAGGGATAAACAAAACAAGATAAACACCCAGTGGGGTAGGAGTTAAATGCTGAAGCAACTAAATCATATGCAGGGTCAGCTCTAGACTTTTGAGGGTCCTGAGTAGGATTTGGTTTGGGGCCCCCCTCATAATAACATGTTACAACTTCACATGGCAAACCCAAAAAAATAGGAAAACCCTTGCATAATTACAGAGCCCTACCAATCTTGTGTAGTGAGTGCTAAGCAGGATTTACACTTGTCCGTCAGCTGTATGCAGAGCCTACGCTGTTGTGAGCATTTATACTTGTGTGGCGGTGTGTGTGTGTCACTCTGCAGTTACACCTCCAAAACACTAATAGTGCTGTAAAGTTTTGTCGATTCAAAACACACCTAAAACACACTTTAAACATGGCTTTATAGTGACAATTTCAAATACAAGCACACAAACAACATGCTAATGTTTTTAGCACAAACCTATGGCATTTTACACTGTATAAATTGGGAGCCAGGGACAACAGCAACATTTAACAAAGGTAATTTACAAGTTCCGGCTCCATTACAACTCACAAGGTTCACCGACAAAACAACTGTCTTATACTAAACACGTTTTCCAAACAAATTATTTATTTATTTTTTTATAACATGCTAACATTATTAACACAA